CCTCATTGTAGTTTTGATCTGCATTTCTCTAATGGCTAATGATCGTGAGCATTTCTTCATGTGTCTATTAGCTGCCTGAATATCTTCTTTGGTGAAGTGCCTGTTCATATCCTTTGCCCATTTTTTAATCAGGTTATTTGTGTTTTGTTGTTGAGGTTTCGCAACATTTTGTAGATTTTAGAGATTAGATGCTGACTGGATTTGTTATAGCCAAAAATTTTTTCCCAGTCTGTAGGTTGTCTTTTTACTCTTTTGGTGAGGACTTTTGATGAGCGTAAGTGTTTGATTTTTAGGAGATCCCAGTTATCTAGTTTCTCTTCTGGTGCTTGTGCGTTGTTATTTATGGCTTGTATTGTGTTTATGCCATGTATTAAGGCTTCTAGCATTGTCCCTATTTTTTCTTCCATGATCTTTATCATTTTCAATTTCATATTTAAGTCTTTGATCCATTTTGAGTTAGTTTTTGTGCATGGTGTGCGGTATGGATCTTGTTTTAAGTTTTTTGCAGATGGATATCCAGTTATGCCAGCACCATTCATTAAAGAGACTGTCTTTTCCCCAATTAACGGACTTTGGGTGATCACAGGCATATTTCTGATGGTACTTGGCTGATGGTCAATGACAAAGCAAAGAAGTGAAATGTAAACAACTTGTCAATCTGGGTAAAAAATATATGAGTAGTCCTTAAAAGCATTTTCACAACTTTTCTACAGGTTTGAAATTATATTAAAATAAAGCGTTAAAAAAAAATCATAGAATACAATCCACCACATAAATAGAACAAAAGAAAAGAATCACATGATCATCTCTATTAATGCCAAAAAGGCATTTAATAAAGTCCAACACACATTCCTGATAAAAACTCTCAATAAAATAGGAACAGAAGTGAAATTCCTCAACATAATAAAGGACATGTATACAAAACCAACAGCCAACATCATTCTCAGTAGAGTGAGGCTGAAAGTATTCCCCCTGGAACAGGAACACGACAAGGATGCCCTTTATCACTACTCCTATTTAACATTGTGTGGGAAGACCCAGCTAGAGCAATGAGGCAAGAAAAACAAATAAAGGGCATTCAAATTGGAAAAGAAGAAATGAAACTATTTCTATTTGCAGATAATATGATACTACATATAGAGAAGCCCAAAGATCCCACAAGAAAACTCCTGGAACTAAGAGAAAGATTCAGCAGAGTAGCAGAATACAAGATCAACATATAAAAATCAATTGGATTCCTATACACCAACAAAGAGAACTCTGAAAAGGAAATCAGGAAAACAATACCATTTATAATAGCCCCTAAAAAGACAAAATACTTAGGAATAAATCTAACCAGTTACTTAAAAGACTTATACAAAGAAAACTAAAAAACACTACTGCAAGAAACTAAGAGACCTACATAAGTGGAAAAACATACCATGTTCACGGATAGAAGACTCAACAATGTGAAAATGTCAATTCTACCCCAAACAATCTACAGATATAATGTAGTCCCAATCCAAATACCAACAACATTTTTCCAAGATGGAAAAATTAATCATTAACTTTATATGGAAAGGAACAAGGCCCTGGATAAGCAAAGCATTACTGAAGAAAAAGAAAAAAGTAGGAGGCCTCACACTACCTGATCTCAGAACTGACTATACAGCCACGGTCATCAAACAGCCTGGTACTGGTACAACGACAGGTACATAGACCAATGGAACAGAATTGAAAACCCAAACATAGATCCATCCACCTATGGTCAGCTGATCTTTGACGAAGGACCAAAATCCATTAGATGGGGGAAAAGACAGTCTTTTTAACAAATGGTGCTGGCAAAACTGGATATCCAACTATAAAAAAATGAAACACAACCCATACCTGACACCATACACAAAACTAACACAAAACGGATCAAAGACCTAAATATAAAACCTAAAATAATAAAGATCGTGGAAGAAAAAATAGAGACAACGCTAGGGGCCCTAATACATGGCATAAATACAGTACAAACCATAACTAATAATGCATAAATACCAGAAGATAAACTAGATAATTGGGAGCTCCTAAAAATTAAACACTTATGCCATCAAAAGACTTCACCAAAAGAGTAAAAAGAGAACCTACAGACTGGGAAAAAAATGTTGGCTATGACATATCTTACAAGGGTCTAATCTCTAAAATCTATAAAATACTTCAACATCCCAACAACAAAAAGACAGATAATCCAATTAAAAAATGGGCAAAGGAAGTGAACAGATACTTCACCCAAATAAAACATTCAGGTGGCTAACAGACACAGGAGAAAATGCTCATGACCATTAGCCATTAGAGAAATGGAAGTCAAAACCACAATGAGATACCATCTCACCCTGACATTACTGGCACAAATCAAAAAAACAAAACAAAACAAAAAACCAGAAAATAATAAATGCTGGAGAGGTTGCAGGGAGATTGGAACTCTTACGCACTGCTGGTGGGAATGCAAAATGGTACAACCACTATGGAAAACGATATGGTGCCTCCTTAGAAAGCTAGAAATAGAAATACCACGTGATCTAGCAATCCCACTCCTAAATGAATATATCCTAGAGAAATAAGAGCCGTCACACAAGTAGACATATGCACACCAATGTTTACTGCACCATTATTCACAGTAGCAAAAAATGGAAACAACCTAAGTGCCCACCAGCAGATGAATGGATAAATTATGGTACATACGCACAATGGAATACTAGGTAACAATAATGAACAATGATGAATCCGTGAAACATCTCACAACATGGATGAATCTGGAGAGCATTATCCTGATTAAAATAAGTCAATCACAAAAGGAGAAATATTGTTTGAAACCACTATTATAAAAACTCAAGAAAAGGTTTACACACAGAAAAAAACAATCTTTGATGGTTACGAGGGGAGGTGGAGGGGGGAATCACTAACTAGACAGTAGACAAGTGCTACCTCTGGGGATGGGAAAAACAACACCCAACATAGGGGAAGTCAGCACAACCTGACCAAGGCAAAGTCACAGAAGCTTCCTAGGCACATCCAAACACCTTGAGGGCTGGAAAACATAGTCTCAGGGGACATCTAGTTCAATTGGCATAACACAGTTCATAAAGAAAATGTTCTACATTCAACTTTGGTGAGTAGCGGCTGGGGTCTTAAAAGCTTGCGAGTGATCATCTAAGATACGTCGGTCCCATCCCGTCCGGAGCAAAGAATGAAGAAAACCAAAGATACAAGCAGAATATTAGTCCAACGGACTAACGGACTGCATGAACCACAGCCTCCACCAGCCTGAGCCCAAAAGAACTAGATGGTGCCTGGCTACCACTACCAATCGCTCTAACAGGATCACAATATAGGGTGCTGGACAGAGCAGGAGAAAAATGTAGAACAAAATTCAAATTCACAAAAAAAGACCAGACTTACTGTCCTGACAGAGACTGGAGGAACTCCCGAGACTACAGGCACCAGACACCCTGCTAAATCAGAACCGAAGGCACTCCTGAAGACTACCTTTCAGCCAAATATTTGACAGGCCTATAAAACAAACAATAACATAGGTGAGGAATGTGCTTCTTAGTTCAATCAAATGTTGGAGACCAAATGGGCAACACCTGCCCAAAGCAAAGATGAGAAGGCAGTAAGGGATAGGAAAACCGAACAAGTGGACACAGAGAACCCAGGGTGGAAAGAGAAAGGGGAGAATGCAGACCCATTGCGGGGATTGCAACCAATGTCACAAAACAGTTTGTGTATAAATTTCTGAATGAGAAACTAATTTCTCATTTAGTTTAGGTGTAAACTTTCACCTAAACACAGTAAAAAAAAATTTTTAAAAAGTCTATAAAAAAAATTTCCTTCTGCGGTTAAAAAAAAAAAAAAAGAGTCAGACTTTGAACAGCAATCACTTTGTCCCAGGAAAGGGGAAACAAGAGGCCTCCATGGCGCTAACAGGCAAAGGGAATCCATGGCTGCTGAAAAGCCAAGTTTGCCTCAGCTGGTCAGGCAGTGCTTCTTAGTTTAATCAAGTATACAAAACCACATGGGCAACACCTGGCCAAAAGCAAAGACAAGGCAGGAAGGGCCAGGAAAACCGGACAAATGGATGCGAGGAACCCAAGGAGGACAGGGTAAGGGGGAGAGTGCTGACACATTGCAGAGACTGCAACCAATGTCACAAAACAATTTCTGTACAAATTTTTGAATGAGAAACTGATTTGAGCTATAAACTTTCACCTAACGCACAATAAAATTTAAAAGAAAATCACAAAATAGTCATAGTAATAATAAAAATGATAACGATGACAATATATAGCAGTCATTAGTCTATTCTTCCTTGGCAGCGTTTGGACATTTCCACAGTTGAAAAAGATAAGAGTAAAAACATTATGGAAAGTATGATCTCACCTTTGTGAACCATTTATATATAAATACACAAAGAAGCACTACACAAAAATGTATCTCAAGCTTTACAGCTGCTATCTTTACACTCTGGAGTTATTAAGTAATTAAAAACTTTTTTCCCTGAATATTTCTGTATTTTCTGAATTCTCCACAATGATCTGGTTCTATAAAAATACAAAATATTACTTGTAATCATATGAAATGGTTGAGAACATTTCTTAAAAACTCACAAGATTCCAACAATCAACTTCGTTCCTCTAAGTTTCCTGTGGCTCATGGGGAATATATCACAGAAATTATGAATTCGGGCTCTGGACTTAGACTGTCTTGGTTCCTATCCCAGCTCTCTCCTACCAGTTTTGTGACTATGCGTGAATAACTTAATCTCCTAGCCCTTAAAATAGGGAAAAAAGCAGTACCACCTCACATAACCATTAACACCAAAACCAAATCCACTGCCTTTGAGTTTATTCAGACTCAAAGCAACCCCATAGGGTTTTCAAGGCTGTTAATCTTTATGCAAGTAGACTGCCACACATCTTTCTCCCACAGAGAGGCTGGTGAGTTTGAACTACCGACCTTTCCATTAGCAGCTGAGGGCTTAACCACCGTGCCACCAAGGCTCCTCCACACAGCCACAGCGTGCCATAAATGTATTAATTTTTATAAAACCCTTAGAATGGAATTTAGCAATTAAAGCTTAATTTTTATCCTTACTCATACCGACATACATGTCACACATTCTACAATTTATGTGAAAATCTTTTTACAACTTTTAAAAAATTTTATGCATTTTGTTGTTGTTGAGAACATACACAGCAAAACATACACCAATTCAACAGTTTCTACATGTACCATTTAGTGACAATGATTACACTCTTCGAGTTGTGCAACCATTCTCACCCTCCTTTCCTGAGGTGTTCCTTCCCCGTTAACATATGTGAAAATCTTTGTAGAAGAACACCAAACGCTACTCACGTGTGGCTCTGTTGCCAGTAGCCAAGGAGTCAGTGCTTCCACCTCCCTGCAGTCCCTTTTGAGAAATCGGGGCTAGGGAGGAAAGAATACTGTGAAATACAAGACTGCATTGCTGTCCCCGATAAATCTCTTGTTAATTCTCCTCACCTTGTACCAGCTAGAAGCCACCCCTTCCTTGCTAGAAAAAAGAGTCAGATCATCCGTGAAGATCCAGGCTCGGCAGAGATCACAGAGAAGGGCCAGGGCCACTGCAGTTGGAGCTCTGGCTTCGTCGCTTTCAGGGAACTGAGCGTTTTTCGGGAAATTAAATATTACTAACAACGGATATCACCACTCATCATGTGCCGTGAACTGTTTTAAGACTTCTATTCATACTACCTCTTTTAATTCTCGAAACAATTCTATTACGAATAGTAACATCCCCTTTTTACAGAAAAGCAACCGGGGGCACAGAAAGATTAAATAACTCGCCCAACGCTATACCGTGAGGTGGTGGCAGCGCGGATGAAAGCTGGAGGTAGACGGCTGCCGGGAGCAGAGAGCCGGGAAAACCCTCAAACCAGGGAATGAGCGACCCGAACTCGTTACCAACCCTGCACGCGCGAACCGCCCAAAACGCAAGAGGCTACGCCGAGGAAACGCAAACCGCCACCCTCGTCTCTCAAACCTCCGCTTGCGCCGCCACTTCTATTCTCTTAAGTCGGTGTCCGGCTCGTTACTTGTCCCAAGCGCAGGTCCAGAAACTTCGAAAGGGTTGCGAGACGAAAGACTCAAACACCACTAGGAAGAAAAGATGGCAGGAACCTCACTCCCCCGGCAGAAGTGCCCGCGAGTCCAGTTTCTGGACTACATTTCCCAGAATTCCTCAGAACCGCTTGTCTGAGAGAAAGTACCCTAACTCCGCCCAGCTGCCTGACTACACTTCCCAGGATGCCCGAGGGGAAACAACGTCCACAAACCTCAAGCTCCTGGGGGAGGAAATGCTTCTGATAATACACAATTCCTGGACTACAGTTCCCACAATGCGGAAAGGAACAAAGCCCAAAATCTCGAGCTCCTAGGGGTTAATGTAGTTTACTACACCGAGAACATGCATTACCTTTCCCTGAATCCTCGAGCGAAAAATATGCATAGTCACTAGATAGATACCTTTTAACTATGGCAGGAGTGTTGTTGGAAAAGGAACATTGAGCCAAGAGATACAATCGTCAAGGAGTTAACGGGAATGGTCTTCTTAGGGGCAGGAGATAACTGAATTAAAAAGGGCAATGGCTACTATGATGTGATGGTATGAGCCTAACACTGGGCGTTTAAAGTATGGGCAAGGTAGAATGGCTTCAGAGGGGCATTGAGAAGCAAGAAAAGTATCGACTCCTACTTCGGACCCTTTGGTACTACTCGTTTGGCAAGAAAAACCACCACTGTTTGAGAGGGCTAAAGCGGAAGCAGTAGCCGCATGGAAAAGCCATCTTAATTCATTTAAACTCTTCATGGTATTATTATCCCAACTATGGAGGTGAAAACACAAAATTTCAGACGTTAATATATTGTCCAACATCTCCAAGCTAGTTGCTGAAGAGCTGAGCATTGGGGTCACTCTCTCCATCCCTTCCAGTCTTTCTCACTCCTCCAGCATTTCCTCCATTTAACTTAACCATTGTATTTAACCAATTTCATTATTTTCTGGTTCTTCCTTCAGAAAAGATATCTAGATTTTATTATTTTCCTTTACAAAACATTCCATGCTTTTTTCACTTAACAGTATATTCTGCAAATCACTTCATCTAAGTACATTCTTTTTACAGCTGCATAGAACTCCACTGTGTGGTTTATTTAACAATGCCCCTATCTATAGGCATTGAACATACACCAATTCAACAGTTTCTACATGTACCATTTAGTGACAATGATTACATTCTTCAGGTTGTGCAACCATTCTCACCCTCCTTTTCTGAGTTGTTCCTTCCCCATTAACATACGTGAAAATCTTTGTATTTCTAACATTTTCTCATTACAAACAATGCTGCAATAAACAACCTTGTAAATTTATCTTTTCTCTCCGATGAAGATATATCTTAAGGATAAATTTTCATAAAATTAGGACTGCAGAGTCAAGTGGTATATACATATGTACTTTTCCCCATCTTTTCAAATTTCCTTCCATATTGGTTGAACCAATTTGCATTCCCACCAGCAATGTATGAGAGTAGCTTTTTGCCAAATTTGCCAAAGGAGTGGTAACAAATGTTACCTCAGTGTAGTTTTAATTTGCATTTATCATGAGTGAAGTGGAACATTTTTTCATATTTCAAGGGCCATTAATATATGTTTTTGTCAACTGTCTCTTCAATTTGTTGCTCACTTTTCTATTGAGGTTTGATCTTTCTACTCTATTTCTAAGTTTTCTTTATGTATTAGTAATATTAGTTCTTTATCTGTTAAATGGAGTCCAGGGTTGTATAAATGGTTAAACACTGGAGTACTAGTCTAACGGTTGGAGGCTCAAACACACCTAGAGTTGCCTCAGAAGTAAGGCCTTGCTATCTGCTTCTGGAAGGTCACAGCCTTGAAAACCCCATAGAGCAGTTCTACTCTGCACACATGGGATTACCATGAGTTGGAATCGACTTGACAATAACTAACAACAACAATATACCCTCATTTTAATGGTTTCATATTATTACAGGAATACATCAAAAGTCAAATTCCTATTAATGAACACTTTATTTCCCTTAAAAAAATCAGGGACATCATTGATGTGGCACTTTTCTTTTAGATGACTGAATCTCTTAATCATAAATTTTGATCATATGATTCCCAGATCAGAGCCATGTATTGCACATTCTGAAGTATACTCCTTTACAAAACTGTGCTTTTACTACCACCAATAGAGAAAGCATGTAAATGTCAGTCCTGTACCAACAATGATCAAATTTCATGAAATTTTCCATTTCACAATATACCCTATGTGAAAAGTTTTTATTAAAAAAATAATACAGCAATTAAAGTCCGATCATATCAAGGCCTTTATGGAAATGAAGAGACTCAGAAATCCATGGTCAATCCAAGATTAAATAAGAAAATTTTTTTCATTAGTCACTACTTCTTACACTTTCAAACTGTTACAGTATAGCCCTGTGTTAAAACTGCTGAAGAAATATTCAAATGTTTAATATGTAGTGTCCGCTCACTGCAAGATTACGGTAGACTTTATACTGTATAAAACTGAAAGAATATTAGACATAGTCCCAAATAATAAGAACCCAACTCAATAACAGAGGCTGAGAGGAGGAGAGGAGCCAATTAGATTTGGTTAATAGAAAAATAATATTGTGGATCATAGTACCAAGTGGTTTTCTGCACTTCTGTTGATTTCCCTGAGTTAACTTCCTTTTCTTGTTTCTTCTTCTCAATACAATTTTCAAATGTTGTACATTCTCTCCTTTTCATTCATTTAACAAATAAGCACTGAGCACATCTATAAAGTGCTAGTCAATGTTAAGTTTGAGTAGATTCAGCAGCAAAGGCCTTGCCCTCATGGAGCTTACATTCTAGTGAATATTGGTTTTGATGTGTCCATCATTGTACTTTTGTAAAGACATGATCAAACTTATTCTTTCTAAGGCATATCTCCTGAGTAATATTTGGCAATGATAACTGAAGCCCTTCTGCACCACTTAAAAGGATTCTCCACTGTGTGATCTCATGACCACTGGGATTTGTTGAGCTATGGCTGAAACATTAATGAACAAATGTTTTCCCTGCTATGAAATCTGATGATTACAAGAATTCAAGGTGCGCCTGGCCCAAGCCATGGTGTTTTCTATTGCCTCATATGCATGCAAAAGCTGGATGATGAATAAGGAAGACCAAAGAAGAATTGGCGCCTTTGAATTGTGATGCTGGCGAAGAATATTGAATACATCATGGACTGCTAGAAGAACGAACAAATCTGTCTTGGAAGAAGTACAACCAGAATGCTCATTAGAAGCAAGGATGGTGAGACTATGTCTCACATATTCCGGACATGCTGTCAGAAGGGATCAGTCTCTGGAGAAGGACATCATGCTTGGTAAAGTAGAGGGTCAGCAAAAAAGAGGAAGATCCTTACCGAGATGGACTGACACAGTAACTGCAACAATGGGCATAACAACGATTGTGAGGATGGTGCAGGACCAGGCGGTGTTTTGTTTTGCTGTACACAGGGTCGCTATGAGTTGGAACTGACTTGACGGCACCTAACAACAACAAAAAAAATGGATTCTTTGATGACTTTCATCAAAACTGGAAGTGCTAACCACATGTCTCACATTTTGAAGTTTTCTCTCCTGTGTGAATTCTCTGATACTGAAGCTCTCAAGAGCGACAAAAGATTTTACCAAACACATTACATTTGTACGGTTTTTCTCCAATGTGGACAGTGATAAAGTTGAAGACTTGAAGCCTGACTGAAGTACTTACCACACTCCCCACACCAGTATGATTCCTTCCCCTGTGGACCCTCTGATGTTTTTTCAAGATTCCAGTTTCACCTGAAGCTTTTCTCACACTCCTCACATCTGTATGTCTTTTCTCCAGTGTGGAACCTGATGGAACTGAAGTTGTGAATTCTGAACAAATCTCTTCCCTCTCTTCACATCTGAATGGCTTTTCGCTACTGTGGACATTCTGATGTTTGAACTGGTGGGTTCGAACTGTCAAATTTTTGGTTAGCAGCCAAGCACTTAACCATTACACCACCAGGGCTCCTTACAGCCAAGAAAACCCTATGGGGAAATTCTATGCTGTAACACACGGGGTCACCATGAGTCAGAACTGACTCGATGGCAATGACTTTCATTTTGGATGTATTTTTCGGACTTAGAAGATATGAACTCATCCAGAAGTGCTAATGCATGTCTCATATTTGTAAGGTTTCTCTCCACGGTGAATTCTCTGAAGTTCTAAAGAATGATGGAAGATATTACCAAACATATCAGACTTGTATGATTTCTCTCCAGTGTGGGCACTCTAACAAAGCTGACAACTTCACATACAATTATTTATCACACTCCAATACTTATATGGTTCCTCTCCCATCCATGTGGACTCTCTTATGATTATCAAGATTCAAGTTCCACTTGAAGTCCTACCTACCCTCTTCACATCTGTACGGCTTTTCTCCATTATGAACCCTCTGATGGGATTGAGGGTGTGAATTCTGACCAGATCTCTTTCCACTCTTCCATTTGAGTGGCTTTTCTCCACTGTGAACTCTCTGATGTTTCTGAAGATAGGAACCCCTACTAAACTGCTTCCCACATTCTGCACAATTATATGGTTTCTCTCTTGTACGGACACTCTTATGGACAGAAAGATTTGAGGAAAAGTTGAAGCCCTTCCCACACTCCTCACATTTGTACGGTTGTTCTCCTGTGTGGATTTTGCAATGATTATAAAGTGTTGATTTTAAATGGAAGTTTTTACCACATGTATCACATTTGAATGGTTTCTCTCCAGTGTGGATTTTCTGATGCTCCCGGAAACGTGAAGCCTGAATGAAGGCCCTGCCACATTCCTCACAATTATAAGGTTTCTCTCGCCTGTGGAATTTGCAATGAACATTAAGTTCTTTCTGGT